GAATTTATGAATCTTTATTTTATTTTAATACATTTTGGAGAAGCCTCTCTATCTGTCACCTATTACTTAATCAACAAACCTGTAAAAATCAGAATTATATAAATCCCTGATGAAACATAACTGCTGTCAGTATAGGAACAAAAACATATGAGTTACAAGAACAACACACCACAATACAGTGTCTAAAGGGGATGAATTTTGAGGATTGTATCCGACTGAAGTTACAGGGGTTATTTAACAGACAGTAACAGTAACCCATATGGGAATTTTAGTTAAGGCTCTGGAACTAACATACCTACTCTTTAGAAGGAAAGATCAGGTGGTCACCAATTGCCAAAAGTTCTTGCAGTAGTTATTGTTTCAAGTGAGATCTTCATCTGTAGAAACTAATCTATTTATTTCCAAAATTAATGTCTTATATTGGACTTTTTCTCTGTGGCTTCACACTCTTAAGAGATTTTGAAGTAATTTCTAAGCTGAAATTATTGATATCTCAGGAAAATCTTATATCTATTCAGAGATGTGGAAGCAAAATGTTAACCTCCACGTATCTTTTCTTTCAGAGACTAGCTGAGTATTGTAAGTTCCAATTCTTCTGTAGCATGTTTGTTCTGTGAAAGTTTCTCCTGTTCTAATATTAAATGGATAGGATTCTACTTAATTCCTAAGACCTATTATGATGGTGAAACAGACTGTAGAGTTGAACTGGTTTATATTAGTTGTCACTACGGAATGTCTTTTCTTCTGTTTTTCAAGTAACGCTTGACTTTTTCCCCATCTAATCACTCTAACCTTTTTGCTTCCCTGAGGTTTTGTTTCAAGATAAGATGACCATTCTTCAGACTACTGATATGTTCCATATTGGCAACTTATAACAGAATGATTTTGTCCGTATCTCTTAGTATCACCTTTTCAAAAATTTGTTATTTTTACTACCCTGGAGAGTAAAGCAGATGGCTTGTCCACTATGCTTTGCCAAAACCTATTAGTAAAATGGATAACTCATTTTAGCAATTCATTATCTTTGAATACAATGAAACTGTGTCTTCCCATTAACATCTATTATGTCTCATTTGCCTGTATTCATTTTAATATGCCAATTTGTTGCACAGTTCAGACCGTTTGAAATTCGTAGGTAAAATGGCATACAGCTCTAATTCTGGCATTCATCCTTAGTGAAATTTCCATTCCATTTTTTTATTCTGTCACTACCTATTTCCAAGTGCTTGCTATAAGCTGAATATTCATTTTATGTATACTGAATGCAATCCTATGTAAATTTTAATGACTTTGCTATTCTCTTGAGAATTTCTCTTTTATGTACTCTGTTGTCCAATGTTGGACCTGACTCATATTATATATGACTCTTGTCCATCCTGTGCAGTGGGGCAGGGAGAGGGGGTTTTCTGCACTTGCCTGTCCACGAACTGTCAAAGACAAAAATAAGTCTTTTCTGTGTGCTGCTTATGTTTAAACAAAAGATTTTTGGATAAAATACAGAGATCCGGTTGGTAAAGAAGGTTGCTGGATTCAGATTATATTTATTTTATTCAAGTTGAAAAATCAGATGGAAGAAGTCTCTTTAGCTAAATAGAACATAGACTGTTATTTAAGCCCTTGAATAATACATGCATTTCCAACATGGAGCTGGTTTATGAGATCTTATATTAAATACTTTTGTTGCCTGTCATAATTCATATCTGAAGCTATACTGGTTATGACAGCCAGCTTCAGAGACTGTTATTCATAGAGACTTTATTCTTACAAGATTCTTAGCCTTATTCCAGTATCTTCTCAAGAAGTTAAATGCATAAATTTGTAAAGCAAGTTCTGTTGACTTTTTACATAGTTTTTAAAAATTAGCTTAAAACTACTTTATTTAATAAAATAAAGGCACAAGTCAAAAGACATTGGGTATTGTAGATATCAATTTACAAAGTTTTCCCGCAGCAGAAGCCTCTAGAGGATTACCTTTTGATGAATTGTCTCCCCTTAGACTGCTGCATAGGAAGAAAATGTGACTAAAAAATAATTTTATGTAGAATTGCTGTGTCAAGTGTAGTTCTTGTGCACATCACCTTTTCTAAACAAAAATTCTACTTATATAACCAATTTACGGACAGCAGTGAATTCTTGTAGAAAACCAGGATGTAAAACAAAGAGTAAACTAACCTAAAAATATGTTTTAAAATTTTTCTTTGGCCTACAGCCTTTGACAGATCCCTAATGAAAAATGTTAAGGAGTATGGTTGTCTTCAGTGTGGTCATGTTTTTCCTGTCTTTCTTCGCCCTCGCTCACTCCTGATAATCGTTCAAGATTGATTGTAAGACCTTTAGTGACACCAGCTTTTTTAGTACTCTTAGTCTTTCCTGGGCCAGGTCTGTATGAGAGAGCACTAGGAAAGCAGTGATATAGAGTTAAAAGAAACCTGAAAGTTTAAGATCCCTATGACTCTAGACAAAGGAACCTTGTTTTCTGAATTCTGTGTTTTTTTTCCTAAATTCTGCTCTACCTTTCCCTTCCCCCTTTGCTGTTCATGATGGCCTAGTCTGCTGCTTCAGAGAAATTAAATCGTTCAGAAACAGGGAAGAGAGTAAAACCTCAAGAATCTAGGAGAAAGGAGAAATTACTTTTCTTAAGGCGAGAGAGGAACTGTTAGAAAAGCAAATTTCCAGAAAGCTGAAGCAGAGTGGAAATGTTTTGTTTCTTTGGGAATGCAATCTGTAATTCTGTTGCTATATAAAGCAGGATATTTGGTTAAAGTTGGTTAAGGCTGGTTGTTCGCATATGTTTTATTTTAAAATTTAATAAGTGTTCATGATTATTAGTGAACCCATTGATTTCTAGGATGTTGCCTATGGGAGTAACGGTTAAGGAATTAAAAAGTAAGTCCAAATCCTTGTGGAAGATGATGCTCCACTGAGCTAGCAGGAAACAATTATTGCTGATTATAAGCATATCAGAGGTTATATTACTCATAGCAATCAGCAAAAAATGTCTTCTGTTTCTTTTTGAACACAAGATGGTTTTGTCTCAAGACATAACCAAAATTTTGTCAACAAATCATTTTGAAAGCCAAATGGGAGCCTAATGTAAAATTCACATTCATGGATAATCTGACATATCTGATGACTGTTTGCCCTTTTTCTATCTGCGTGAATGCAGAAATGTGTACTTCCTGAACATTTTTTCCTAATGATCTTCAATGTTGTAACCTAAACTACGAAGTACTTGAATTTCTTTTGACTCTGGCTTAATTTCTGTTCTTAATTTGGGAGGAATCTGGCTAGACTAGCTAGTTGTAAAGAATGAAAAAATGCAAACTGAAGTGAGGAAGAATGCAAAAGAAATCATTCTCCAAACATTGGTGTCTACTGATACTCCGAAATAGGCCGCGAAAAGGCAGTGAAGACTCCACTGATTCTTTTGACTGAGAAAGAGGAAAAAATTCACTGTCTTCATTGCTTGCCCAAAAGTTTTGATTGCTGACAGCTGGATAGTCACCTATGAGCATCAGTGATCTACAGCATCTATCTATTTGCTGTTTCAAAATAGCAAAAACTGTCTTTGGCTGTCTGACTCCCTTGGCAGATGGTCCAAATGCAGAATGGGAATGGAGTGATTATCTCCCTATGAGTACCGGCTTCTCTAGGTTGGTTGAGATATGGTGTCAATATGGAAGTTGTAGTGTATTTTTCTTGCATGAGTTGGAAAGATTGGAGGATATTAGTGTTTGTTCCCTGACTTCCTTTAAGCTCTCAATAAAACAATTTGAAAATCCCCAAAGTTCATATATATTTCAACTGAGGTTTTTGGTTTGGGATCCTTTCTTATTCTGGAAAGCCTATCAAGAAGAAATGAAACAAACCTCTTATATCCAGAGGTGCCAGGTTGGTTGGTGGAGAGAGGTAAATAATTATAACCGTAGGAAAAAGCATCGTCAAACAGTGCAGAAGAGACCAAGCACAGACTTTTAGCAAACGTTCTAAGAGAACTTCCTTAAAATAGAATTTGGAGGTATTTATAGAAACTGAGAGAGAGAACGTCTTCAGTTCTCTTGCCAAGTTCTGTAGCCGTACAGTACTATGCAACTGCTTGTAACACACAGTGCAGTTTTCATAGATCTGTTTAGGAGCAACTGATCCCAAATACGAGAAACCATAAAGGTATGAGTTCATTAGCCGGTATGTACTTATGCTGATTAGCAATGTTGAATTTGTTTTCTTTGTTGCAAATCACAGCAGAAGAAGAAATAAAAAATGTCATCCTGTTTTGCTACCAAGATACTTTGTCATACGCCATCATTTTCTTTTGCTGTATAACTAACTGAGTTTTCCTGTGGCCCGTATATGTCTTCCCTAAATAAAAGACATAGAAATGAAGAAATTGCATCAAGAAAGTCAATTAAGGCTTTTGAAGCTGTCACTGTCCTTTCTGCAGGCTCTGATGGCAGAAGGCAATGGCATACGCTCACATCTGTATTCCACAGCCTTTGCTCACATGAGCAGTTGCAAAATGTAGGGAAGGAATTCGTTCCATTTATTGCACAGTGAACTTGCCGTGTGTTTACTGTGCTTTTTTTTGCAGTTTTCTTAGGGGAATGTGCCACTTAGGGAGCTTCTTTGAATTGGTGCTGTCACGTCCTGCCTGAACTGCATAAAGCAAAGCAAGAGACATATTTTGATATGTTTTGGATATATTATATTATGTACCTCAAATAATTCAGCCTGCAAAAGTTTTTCTTCTGAGGCCATATTTTGTGACAGGCTACTTCTTTTATTATGCTGTTTGGGATGTGACTGTATTAGTATTCCAGAAGGCTAAAATTTTGGGAATTTAAAATGTAAAAGGAATGAAATGTTTTAGTGAGGAAGCACTTTCTACAAGAGAATATTCAGAAATGGCTTTTTGGAGAAATGTTGTTGCTTAAACAATTTATTTCATATTAGTTGCTAGTTAAAGAATATGAAAATTCGTTTGTTCCTATGCTGTTTGGCAGACTGCCGTTACCAGAACATAAATTTATGGGCTACTGGAGAATTGATGACCCGGGAAGTGCACGACAGAAACTGCTGTGTCCAACAGAAACTCAAAGAATAGATGTAAAGGTTTGTATTCTTTTTTTAAAATGCCTAAGTTTTCATATATAGGGCTCTGAAAAGCCTAAAATGTGATTCATTTCCTCAGGAAAAAGAGGATATACAAAGCTTCGTCTTTGTTACTTGTTTTTGTTTTTCTATACTGTCTAGAAAAATAAAGTTTATTTTGTACTTAGCCCTCAGAATTTGGGATGTGCTTTAAAATTAGTAGATTTGGTCAGAAGTTCTTGAGAGGAGCTTTTTGTGAGGATTTTTACAGTGCCATTTTTGAAGGAACTCCAAAGCTGTTTTGGATGCTTGGAGGTGGCCAATTTCAGCCCCCAGATCTCAATTTTTGAGTAAGATCTGAGACAGGAAAGAAAGCTGTATTCTGTGCTTATTTCACATGCTGTTGAATTTTTATGAGACTTGGGCACTGCCAAGTTTGAATCGAAACCTTTGGTCTGATTTGACTGTAGCCAAAGCTTTTCAGGCCTTTTCAGCTTTGAGTTCTTGGCTTAACTTTAGTAATTATTAATTCAATGAATAAGGAAAAACTCAACTGTAAATGTGATGTGAGACTGAGGTTTAAACTTTATATAACAAGAAATTGTCATTGAGCTTCTCTGTGAGAAAAAATGTTCTGATTTTTCCTTGTATGGACTGTGGTTGATCAGTGCGTGTTACCTCGATCATGTCACTGAGCAGTGATGATTTCAAACCAATCAAATAATAAGGAGGAAAGGCATGCTTTGTATACTGCAAAGAAAATGGCATTATGGACATTCAAAGAGCTTACAGAAAAGTATTTCCTTTTCCCTTTCATTTACGTAATATTTGCTCCGTTCCTGTTGTTAATAGCGTTAACAGTCTTGAAGAGAATGTCTAGGTTTTCATAACGAATGGCGAGTGAAATATTTTAGCAAGCCCTCATGTTACTGTTTGTTTTAGGGACCTGCGTACCTAAATATTCAAGCATTTCCAGTGGAGCGACATGAAGCCAGGTCCCTCAGTTTCACAGAAGAGCTTGCTTTTTGGACACTACCTATGAATGAAGTTAACTTAGTTTGTGATGTTGCTGTAACAAAAGGTGCAGTAAGAAAAGCTAATAACTTTTGTAATGATCCTCAATATTATAATAAATGAAATATCCTGGAGAGGGGGAAGAACTGGGCTGTTGATATCCTAGGTGCTTGCTGATAGCCAATGTCAGAATACACAAGGGCAATATAAGTGCAATAAAAACACTTTAGTGTATTTACAATAGTGTGTGTTTCTGGGAATCTTTGCAGTGGAGTATAGGAGAAATAGTGTTTCTCTTTTTCCACTTTCCTTTTTTAAAACAGTAGATGAAATACAAAAATAATCAGCCATTGAAATGGGAACCTAATTTCATTGAGACATTCTGGTTTTCATAAGGATATGTATCCTTCTCAAACTAAATCAGAGCTTATACTGATTAAAATTCTTTCTGACGGAATCGACCTGACTTAATTATCTATATTGCTCATGTCCCAAAGTGCATTGCATCATTGGGACTATTCATGACCTTTTTTATAGTTCATAATTAACATGTTTAAAATATGTTGTGCATTACCAACAGATTGCTAATTGCTAGAATATTACCTTTTTCTACTTGTAGCCTTAATTTCAAATGTATTGACAAACTTTTATGAAAGTGAAACAGAAATTATATAACTTTGATTTAATTTTGACAGTTTTCTGAAATGAGTCACGAACTGCTATATGTAAAGGTTTCCATATGAAGTTTCCATTCACCCCGTGTATAATTATTAAGTATAGTAATTGGAGGCAGGGGGCTTGTGGTAGGGCAAAAAGGGAGGAGGATGCAGATTATAAACAAACTAGAACATCTGGACAGATGTATCTTGGACTGCTTGTTTGGAGAGTTAATAGCACTCTGGCCAGATTCTGCCTGCTAACATTTACTTAGTGTGAAGAGACGTTTTCTCTCTCTTTATCTCCCTGTGTCAACAGTGTCTATTTTGCAGTAGGCTTTGCTGTATCATCTAAAACCATGTATCTGCCCAGTTGTGATATATATTTTTGATATATATTATGCTTGGATACATATTTTTTCAAAAGAGCAATGCGCAATGGCAATAACTTTTCATTAATTTTATCTCATTTTCTTTTTTCAGAAGATGAAGCTGAGAATGTTCTTTACGTTGCTGCGTGCAATCCTGTTTCCTTGTACTTTATGAATGTTTCTAGTAAGAGCGGATACTTGGTGGATTTTTATGACCTCTTCCCCAGAACAGTTGGAAATGTCTGGCAGCCTTTTGTGACTGTGGCACCGCTGGGAAATCCACTGAAAGGTCAAGTGATTCTACAGGAAGAGCAGGTAAAAAAAAAAAAAAAAAGCTCAATGATTAGTATGTGTAGTGATGAGGAAAGCAGTTTCATAAAGGTAGGGTCTTTGAGGTGTCTTAACCTCTGTAGACTGAAATTGCTTGGATAAGTCTACCCCTTACTGAATTTGCTTCTTCTCATTATATCTTGAACTTTCAGAGTTACTTCAGCTCTATTTCTTCTGTGGAATTTTTTTTTTTTCTTTTGCAGTTCTTAGCTGATTTACAACATCCTTTTATGTACTTTTGCATTACTGAAGCTGAATTCTGCCCGCTTATCTGATTCCTTTTGCTGGTAAAGGTGGATAGGCCTTTATTAGAGAAAAGGAGATAGTGAGTTGAGTTGAGGAGTCTCAAACAAGAAGTGCATGTTTGAAAGTACAAAATAAGCTGTTTTATGCTGTGAAACTAAGTTCTGCTCCAAGCTTGTCCCTTTTTTACTTTTTGAGCGGTATATGAGAGAGTTATATTTTCTGAGTCACAAAGTGAAATGTTGCTTGTATTTGTATCCTGTCACTATTTTTGGTTTGTTTTGTGAATCCTGATATTTCTCATTCTATAACGTCTCAAGTATTGAACTAGAAAGAAGGCTATGTAAGCCCTGACAGTTAGTGTGTCAGCATACAAATTTAGAATCAATGACTTCTTTGGTGTTGGTTTGGTTGGGAACTTTTTTTCAGAGTGAAGCAATGCATACTTTCCACTTGGAATTACTATTAATGACTGATTGGAATGTTTCCAATTTAAAATTTCTTTGCCCAGGAGTGGAAAGAGACATCAATTGATAAAGTGCTGATGACATTGTTATTGTTGATTTATTATTATTATTAAGAGGTTACTATGTTGCTTATGAGTCATAGTGGTTTGTTATGAGCATTTAATCCGGTCCTTATTTTTGGTTGCCATTCTTCTTTTTCCTTTTGTTGTTCTGAATTTCTTCCACCATTCTTCAGTAGGAGAGAAAAGGTGCCGATTTAGAAGAAACTTTCCTACGCTGAGCTGGAGTGTAAGAAGTCATTCTAGTTTAGAGGCATTCCATAATGAGTGTCTCTGCTATACTTTTGCTCCAGGAATGTTTGTCGTGTGTTGACACCACTTTCTGGTCTCAAGCGCTACAGTTAATAGCTTATAGGATACATCATTCTTCTGGCTTTGGTGGAATTCTTTATGCCTTCGTAAGTTTTGCCTCGGACACTCTTAAAATGTCAGTGCAGTTGTCTTGAACACCTACAGAGGTACCATTTGACCCATTTTGACATGCCCGTAACAAATTTATTTGGTTCTAAACAATCCTTGGCCTTTTCTGGCAAAGTCAATACAGGAAACTGCAGAACAAATGGCAGTCTATCTTGCATCTAATAATATTTATAATGTTTCACACTTTTTAATATAAAGCCCAGCAATACTCCTTGCTTTCCAAGCTTCTAAAATTCCTACCATGAAAATAATTTTCCTGCTAGTTTTATTCTTAATCAAATCATAGTTGTTTTCAGTTTCAGTTTCAGCAATGTGGATCAGACGGTCTTGTGTGAAGCTTTACAGTTAACAACTTAAAGCTCACAACTCAGTGCTTGGTTTTGCCTGTCCTCATGGAATGTATATTTCAATGAAATTGTGAATTAAAATCTGAAACAAAGACTGTTCTGCAGAAAGAATGTGGTAGCTCAGGACCCCTTTCCAGTCTACTTCAGCTCAGCTGTTAACATTCTTTTTTTTTCCCTTGGCCTGAAGTTTAAGTACTGGCAACTTCAATCCTGCTTTTTTAGCAAGTACTATAGTTGAACAAATCCTGTCTGAAAATAAGCATCTTTACACTGCTGGAAAACAATATAGTAATTATAATATTTCTGAATGCTTTGTATTATCTTAAGACGTCTTATGTAAAGTTAATATTAAGATTGACCTTACTCATCAAGTAAGAAAATATGTTTCATTAAAATACAAACTTGGTTGTAAAAGTCAGTATATACTTAGGACACTGCTCAAAAGTAATTTTAGACTTTTTATATAACATAAGTAAGCATATTGCACAGAAAGAATGATGAAATATGATTCTTGTATGTATTGGATGTTCATATGCATGGAGTACATTAGTAATATACTTGGGACTGATTTTTAAATGAGAGACCAAAGCATAGGTCAGCTGGACGCTGCTGTGGTAGTCTTCATGGCCATTGCCATCCTTCTTTACGTTAGGGCTGATGTACTGGAATCTCTGCATTTGCAGTTCCTACTGAATCAAAAGAGAAATTCTCAAGGAGTTTAGTAATTTCACTGGGAGCTTAGATTTTATTCCCAACTCTTCCTGCTGTGGAGCCATGAAAAAGTCATATGCTTTCTTTGTGCACCTGTGAAATGAGGTGCATATTGCTATTTATGAAATTAAATCCGTTATTATTTATGCCTTTAGCAGGTAGGAGTAATAGTTTGTCCCATCTAAGGTAGAACAGCTAAGGTGAATTGCCCTATAGAGGTGCCTCTCTCTTTGCGTTGACTGCAGAAGGAACCTGGGCAGCAAGAATAGTCAAGAGGCTTGCCTTCAGGTGTGCTAAGTTAGGTAAGATGACTGCCAGCCTTAACCTCAGTATTTGCAGCATTCACATATTAATTGAAGTAGATCAGTGGTACGTTTCACCTCCAGGCAAGACTCCCAAGGATTAGCTTCTTGTGTTAAAGGATAGATCAAACAGGCCTTCACAAACAAGTGTAATGTAAATGATATATTTTATGCTTTAGAGATTTGTCTCTTTGTACTCGAAAAACACCAAGAAGTACTACTAATATTTGAAATCAGAAGCTGCATTTATTAAAAAAAAAAAAGCTGTCCACTTAACAGCTGATATTTCATTAAAACCATACACATGGACACTATCAAAGACTAAAGAGTTTTCCATTTTTTTTTGTTTTAACAACCATTTTTTGAGATGAATGTTTTTTAAAAGTTATAAAAAAGAACAAATTTAAATGGATCATAACCATATCGGAAAGGACGCAGTGATGATATTGCAGCTCTTCAAATAAGTGCCTATCATTTGTTATTTCTCAGATGGTATCCATCTGGATCCAATAGAGCCCTCCAGTAACATCAAATGAAAGACTGCAATTCCTTCCTGTCCTTTTAAATAAAATTTTAGTAAAAGTAATCTTATTGGGGATTTAACTTAATTGTGTACATCAGAGATATACCTGCTTTTAAGCAACCTTTACATCTTCTTGGAAGAAAGAGCAGGTGATTCTCTTCAACACAGTTTCCATTGATCTTCCTAGTGAGCCTAGCCAATTTTGACTCTGCCTTTTCAATCAGGCTGAGGTGATAGACTTTGGAGAGACTCTTCTTAAATCTCAAGTCATTTATATGTAAGATGGAGCCGACAGTGTATAGCCTAGCCCAGGCAGGTCCTGTCAGCATCCTTAACTCTGCTTTTATCTTTCTCTGTTGGGAAGTGGGATGGGAAGAGAGAGAAGTGCTTCAGTTTCCCTCTAGTCTCCATTACATTCTAATATACGCTTTCAGGAAGAGGATGTGTTTCCTTCAAAGAAAAGCTGACATTATTAAATTCTGTTCTTTTTTGGATCTTTTATAAGGTGAAGACTTTCCTTTCTGTAAGCACAAAGCTCATATTTCTTCTTACTTTGCTCAATTTCCTGAAATCTCTAATACAATCTCAAGTCTCCCAGATAATCTGAAGGACTGCTCACATTAATTAAAATGTCAGTAATATATTTGCATACATTTCTGCACCTGTGAGGGCGTCATGGTTTGAGCCTAAAACCGTAAATCATTGTACAGTCTTCTTCTTTCACTTTAACCTAATGAACAATATGTCTATATCTATACTAATATACACAGCGTAAGGATTGTTACATGCGTGTCACCCAAGAGGCACTGGTCACCGACTAGCACTAGTACTGGTGCTGGTGGGGATAGGAGGCACAGAGAGTGCATGCCATACAGAGGTGCCAAGCTGAGAATCATCCTCGCCTGGAGGAGAGTTTGTATTTGTGAGCTTGTTTGCTTGGGGCATAGGCATCAGGGACAGAAGAGGATGAAACGATGAGTGTAAGCACTCACTCATAAAATACAGTAATACGTAGAATACATAGAATACAAGAGGGTTATTGCTGAATGCTTCGTACTCTCCTCCTCTGAAATCAAAATTTGTTCCTTCCCCCAGCTCTCTATCTGCAAGAGCATAAAAAACTACTCCCCATACCAGCAAAGTGAAATCACAGCCCTGCTTGGTTTAAGGACTTTTAAGAGGAAAATACTTGCTAAAATAAAAACAGCAATAAGGAAAGGGAAACTTTGCAGTAACTAAAAATAAAGGCCCACCACCACTTCATGAGATTGGTTATTGCATCTGTGCAAAGTTTGGAATTCCAGACTCCAGGGTCAGGAAGTCGCCCAAAGGTTACTTTTCTCCCAGTCGAGAGCAAACATAGCGGAATTGCACACCAGCGCCTTTTCCCAGCCCACTTGAAGAGTTGCCAGAGCTGCTTTTGGATGTGTTCGCAAGTGACGCAAAAACCTATTCTTAAACACAGACAGAATATACATCAGTCACTTAGCGCAGAAGGAAACCATTAACATCAAAAGGGGTGGAGCAGAGAGGCCTTTTCTGTTGCCAACTGCTCTCATAAATTTAATGCTAAGTGGAAGAATGTAATTGATTCATGTGTGTTCTTTATCATATGGCAGAAAATCAAAATCCAAAGCAAATGCCCTGCTTTCCCCCTCCCCCCCGCCCCCGAACCACATCTCTGTAATTTTGGTTTGAAATACATAAGCGAACTGCTTTTTTTAGAAGTATTGAATTCCAGCTGAATTTCCCAAATGCTGCAAATAACATAGTAATATTTTAAATGCTTTACCATATTTAGTTTTAAATTACTGTCATTATTTACAAAAAGTTAATTCTCCTAAATAATCCTAGTGAAAGTATGAAGCATACCCAAAAAGAACAAAAACACTGTGACTCAGATTGTTTGTATCTGTTTTATTTGGGAGAATTTGTGGGAATGTATGTTTTATTTCCTTAACGTCTGTTGTGCGTTATTGCAGATGTTATACGCAGACAGCTTACTTTTAGTAAGACCTTGCAGAACCTAATGTCCTTGCAGAACCTAACAGTTCCCTGAATGGCAAACAAAAAATTCATCCCAAGGCTTAATTAACTTGTACTTTTGTACCTTTTAAATTTCATTTGGTGCAGCTAAGGTTGGCCCTGAATGATTGCTCTCTTGAATTCTTAGTTACGCACATTAGGAGCAGCTGTGGTACTTTCTAAAAAGAGATGTTTGAAATGAACCTACGAACAAGCTGGTTCCTCAAGTTGCGTACTTTGTATCTCAGGTGCGTTCATGCGTGCCATACACCCCAGACATGGCTGCGGCACCTTAAACCTAGCTGATGAGCTTGCTAGTCAGCTTTGTGGCATGTGGGTCCCAGAGCTGGAGACAAGCTGTGGCGCTTTGCGGCAGCCAGGGAGAGCCTCAGTGAAATGCTGTGATCTCTTCCTAGTGCGTGACCCTGGGGCTCGGAGCGGGAAGTACTGATAGCAGTGCCCATCGTATGACAGCATGCACGGACCCTCGGCCTTTCAGTAACAAACGGAGAAATCTGCACAACCACAGAATTTAGCATACCGTATTTTCGCTTGTGATATGCGAATGACCCTCACACACTGCTGCTGGATATCCTGTCTGCTTTGGATCATGATCCTCTAGAGTCATCCCGCTCTCCTCCAACAGCCGTCCTACTGCTGACGCTGTCGGCTGTCTGAGGCTGCAGCTCGTGGAAGGATTTTCACATACCAGGATTTTTAATAAGCTCCTACGTATCTGAAGTATGAACTGTGAGAGAAATTCCTGAGCCATTTCTTCTCTCATCAGTTTTATATATAATATAATATAAGTAATAGGTATTTTAGAGTAATGCTAAGAAAACATATAAAAATGGAAGCTAAATGTTTTAGTAACCTGACAGAACAAAATGGGTACGTCTTTTACCTGTCTTTGGCTGCTAATGGCTGCTGCAAGTGATTTACAGCTTGGATATGTAAGCTGTAATAGTCCGCTTTCTAGAGTCTATGCAAAAATTAATGTGAGCTGTAAGACAAAACATTATGGAAAAATTGTAATATGTAATTCTAGCCCTTTAGCATGTATTTACCTGTTCAGTTAAATTAATCCATCAACTTTAAAATGAACCAAGAGCATTCAGCCTACGTTTTCCAGCAAAATCCATGTAATCTTTTCAAAGCATCTTAGGTTGCTAGAGTTGCAGAGGTACTTCAAATGTAGATTTGATGTAGTCTCTTAAATGGACTTGAGATGTATACAGATCTGCTTTCCATTTACAGAGTAACGTTGTGTTGTTGCTGGATACAAACAACGGTGCTCTTCGCCGGCTTTTGCTCTTACCAGATACTCAAGAGACTCCAAAGAAAACATCTTGGTGGAGCAGCAAGGAAGAGATGGTGAGGAGTAGTACCTAGCTATACCATACAAAATTAATGTGGCAGTTAAAGCTCAATATTGGAAAAACTGCTCCAGGATGGTTTCTCTTACTGTTTTTAGGGCCTAAGCACGTAATTGTTTCTTCCTGTGTATATTGAAATGCCTTACAAAGAAAATAGCACTGTTACGGAATACTGATAGATGTATAAACAAGTTATATTGTCCGAGGATATGTATTTTTTTAAAAAAATCCTTCTTTGGAGTAGAACTGGGAATAACAGAACATTTTATTCCAAGGAATTATGTTCAAAATAACAAACTCAATTATGATGCAATTATATGACTTGGGACAAGGGGGGATAGACAGCATTTTGAGAGGTAATAAATGTAGTGAATTATTCTAAGTAAAGGAAAAATATGGTACACTTCCAAAGGAGTGAGGAAAACTCACTGAGATTCATCTAACAAACCCTAACTGCTGTATGACCTTTTTTATAGAACAACTACAAAATGTGCCGAGAGTTTTCACATAAAAATTGGCTGGTGTTCTACAAAGAAGAAGGGTGAGAGTTAAATTATATGCTTTTAATATACTAATTTTTAATAGAGCTCCTCATGTGCACCTATATCTAATTATTATTTTCTTGGCTTTCAATTTTACAGGAACCGCCTTATTGTACTGGATGTACTGGAGGGTCAAACTCATACCATCTCACTTCCAATCGATCTCAAATCTGTTTTCCTGGTGGCTGAAGATCGGTGGCTATTGGTGGAAAATCAGACAAATCGGTCAGTTAAGCCTGGTTTTCTTTATGGTATTATTTCTTGTTTGTTCAGGTTATGTTTAGGAGCTTCACTCCCGATCTGAGACCTTATGGTGCCAGGTCCTGTATGACCACCAAATAAATTAGCAATATTTGAACCTTCAAATCAATGTTTGTGTGCACAGGTGTCTCATCAGAGAGACACAAACGTTGCTTTTTTGGCTTGCATGAATGGCTAGATGTGTATAGTTGGTGTTTAAGAGGCAGATTTGGTGATAGTGCAGGTAGGCATGCAAAGTAAAAAATGCGAAGGATATACCTATCTAAATTCATGCCTCTGAAAGTCTAGAGTAGATAGGACTGTATGCATATTAATTTCTGTTTTTAAAGAGGTGGTATTGATCTTTAGAAATGAGAATGTTAGTGGACTTAGCTTTGAACGTACAGCCCCATAGTCCAGGATTACCACCTGCTTGCTTTTCTTCATAGTCACATGAAATAAATATTACTTTGCTTTCTTATTTTTATATACATGCACAGCAAATAGAAGTGTGTAAACAGTTACCAGAAGGCAAATTTGCCTCTGGCTGGCTTACCCTCTCCTATCTCACAGATGCTTGGTGTATCATATTTAGTTGTAGAAAAAGGTGTTGATAACCTTGTTATATAAACATAGAATGTTTTTTTTTTATTTCAGAAAATTGAAGTCCTTATTTAAAGTTACAGGTTTAATCAGGAATTATTATAAACATGTATCCTTTACAGGAAATTTCTTTTAACCAAGCGTGCCCAGATGGAAGCTGAAGACAGTGAGGTTTGCCAGCTGTATGCGCTGAGTGAAGAGCCAGCTGACACAGGATTTGGCTTAACAACAGGTATTTAATGCAGGTTTGACTTGCTGGGTTTTCTTTTATCATTTCTGTGTTTGCAGCTGCACAAACAAGGCTCTTTTACTTTAAAGGTCTGGGTAACCTTCTTTCTGATTTTTTTTTCCCTCCCCTTATCAAGTTTGGTTAATAATAGTATTTCACAAAGCATGACATGTTCCATACTCAAGCTTCGGGTTGTTTGAATGAAATATCTTTGTTTCATTGTAACATTTAGTAGCCTCAGTCATGGACTTTTAGGGATACAGAATGGAAAAGAACACAAGACAGCTAGGCAGGAATTAGAACATAGGAGTAGAAGGGACCTAGTATGTTGATAAGTCCAGTCTGAACACTGTTGTAGGTGTGTTTCACATGCTCAGATGAGCTAGAGGACGTTTCCCAAAATATGGGAACCCAGAAATATGTAAGGATATATTTTCCCAAACATGTAATAGGCGCACGTTTAATACAGAACAAAAGCCACAGTTTATAAAAGTGCTCAGGAGGCCACTGAAACCATCACACCTGTATTATAAAATAAGGGAAGTCTGTTTGTGAAGCATGTTTTATGCTACAGAGAAAGCCAGAAACCACCAATGGTCATCATTCTGCCCGGTAAGAAAATGGGATAACATGTCTACCTTCAGAAAATGATGGCGTTTTCAAAGCTGAGCGTTTGGTCATGGTACACAAATCAGTCTACCTGATTTAATACCACTAGAAGTATATGTGCATCCTACCTAACAATTTATAGGCTTTGGCCTATCCACAGTGTGTCTGAGAGAGAGAGAGGAAAAAAAACAAAGAAACCACTTTATGTGCATTAAATGGGGAAAAATTTCTTCCTGGTCCATGTGGCTGAATAACGTAAGTATGAAGAATGAGATTAACACAGTGTAAGCATTATACAAGCAAATATTACTGGCAAACAGAAATAAGGCTTATTTTACTTAAACAACGTTAAATTGGATACCAAGGACTTACCACAGCTTAAATATCCAGGATCCTTTTTATCTGTTGTACAGTTTACTCTGTCAACTTATCAAGCTCCATCAGAAAGCAGTAGTTTCCTTCCTCCTCCCACCTTGTTTAGAAACCATTATCGAATATCATTCCTCAGATGGGTAGAAACCTTATTATGAATTCCAGTCTAGAAGTATTTGTGAGCAATTAATAGCTGCCTGCTTTTTGTGCTATTTTTATCCTCTATTACCTTTTTCTTAATCTTCCAATATAACAAGTCGTCATATTCCGTCTACCCTTTTTCCACATCATTCATCAAACCCGGAATGTAACATCTGCAGCTTGTTCTCACTCTTGAGACAGAATTTGTGGAGGGGAATTAAGAAAATGTAGACCAGTTCCAGTTTTCCACTGCCCCAAACCAGTAGCCCCTTCATCCTCTGAGAGAGGAAAGATTTTCTCCTGCTGCCAGGTAAAAGAGATAACCTACTGATTCAAGAGAAGCAGTGTATGCTGCAGAGGTAAAGATACTGGGTTTTGACTGTGTTGGTAATTTGAGGCAAGGTAAAGGGCTGTTGCATTTGCACAGAATAAAATTCGGTTTTCCTTGGCTTAAGAAGAAAGAAAAATAGACCATTATTACCATAAATCTGTTACAAATAACAATATTTGAATGCAAAGCTAGAGACAGCCACCAGGAAATGTCAAATTGACACTTACCTTTGCAAACTTACATTTTGCTTCTTTGTGCATTTGCATTCTAGCAATCTTTAATAATATGATCACATGCTGTTCTATTCCACAGGCTTCCTCCCTCATTTGCACAGTAGAGGGCAAAATTAAGTGGTACAAGCAACCACAAAACTAGTATTTCCTGATATAAGCACTTAACTTTACAAACATAACATTATTTCCTGACTTTTATGTGTGTGTGTTATAGTGTGGTATAATCAAATTTTCTCCTTTTTACTAAAACTTGTGTTCAAAACAATAGCAATGATAGTGCTTAGCACTCACAGAGTTAAGAGTGTTTCCCTCTACACATCTGGGCTTAATGACTTTCATTTTGTTTAATTTCCCTCTTTAGCGTCAGAACTGTGCGCGCCACATGCAGTTTCAAGTGACCAGTTATCTTCAGAAAACCTCACTGCGGCTGTGGGACAAAAGATCAGCTCCCCCAACAGGATTTTCTCAGATGAACATAATTATGCTACTATTGTTATTGGTTTCCCAGACCTCTTGGTAAATACTCAGTGTTATTATACTACAAAGTAATATGATCCCATTCTGTAACCAATTGAGTAGCTGTTTACCAAATGATATGGAGGAAGAAGGGAATAACAGTAAATGATAAATTTGTAGAATGTTCATTATTTGTTGGGGTAGTCTAATCTAAAGGGACTTCAGAGGAGTTTGAAAATAATAAAAGAAACTGGGTAACATAATGTTCAGTGTAGACAAAATTCATTGTAGGTAAATTTCAGATACTGCTGGTTAGAGGACTGTTTTGTAAATCATGTATTTTGATAGATTTTTAATTAAGTATAACTACTCAGAAAAGTGATAGTGATCTTGGACTATTCAGTGTGAGCTTTTGCTTGGGTGTGCAGCATCTGTCAGGGCTCTAGATTTAAGAGGAAGAAACAAGATATAGAAAATAGAAACAACTTCACTATTTGATGTTGTGATTAAGTATAGATACTGCATGTAATTGTGCTCACTCTGTTTCCAAAAATCCTGTGACATAAATTCAAAAGGACCAGAAAGGAAAGTGAAAATTAACAGTTTACTGACTAAGGCTATAGGAAGGAGTGGAGATAAACACAGGGGACATAAGAGGTGCATTTAATTCTCTGAATGTATTCATATTTGCTGTTTGGTGATACATAAAGCAGGTGGTGCTTATGGAATAAATGATTGTGTGTCATATTTGCATAATATGTTGGTACAAATTAGAAAATTTCACCGTTAACCGGAATGAATTTTGGAAAAGCCAAATGACAGAAAAAAAAACTCTGAAATCCAGAATGTTTCAGGAAAATACCATTAAGACATTGCCTGTGTCTTTGCCATTAATTTTTGAGTCTTATGTGATTTAGATTTATATTACCAGATTGATATATTACACTAGCTCTTCATTTCCTGTGTACATTAAAAAACAGTTGTGAGATCATTATTAGGCGAAATAGGCAGCCTAGAAGAGAGAGTGCTACGATGCTACTACACCCCTCAATACTAATACTGCCCCCAGAGCGCTTTGTTCTCCCAGATTTAGACTGGTGCCCCTTCTTTCCAGATATGTGGTTTTAAGTGTTTGTGTGAATGTGGAAGGATGAATGCTAAAGGTGAATGCGAGGGGTGGAACAAAACTGCAGATATCAGACCCCTCGCTCCCCTAAGCTCAGGTGTTGATGGGGTAGATGTTTACATGTGAGGTATCCAAGCTCTTATTTATAGTAGCAGAGCTCAGCTGACCCATTGTAGAGATATGAAGAGCAGATCATTTACTCTCTAGACCCTGTTGACTATGTGGGAGATGAAGCATCTGTCTCAGAGGTAGATACCTGCATTTATGTCGCTGAAAAAGGAGATGAGTCTGAGTCTTAGTGTCTGCTTTTGGATTCAAGACTGAAGTATCTGTTTGCATTTATCTAGAATAATGAGAATTTAGACTGTAATAACAGTTCATTACATTAAACCCTTCTATGTAGTTTGGTTCCAGATGAGTCTATTTCAATGCTTTCTGTTCCTTGTTCAATATAAAAAAAAAACATTGATTCAACTCCAGATCATCAGCCTGACTTCCTGAAGCGTGTATAGGTGGTCTGCTGTTTGCCATTCCTTTATAGGTAGTTTTAATGACAAAGTAATCCAGGTCTTTTCCTTGTCCTGTGATGACCTGAGAAGTAACCACAGTAGCTACATTTGATTTAAAATTGAATGTGAAGTGGAACTCATCAAGAAAAGTTTGTTCTTAGTTTCAGTGATGGAAACTTTTTGTTCAATAGAATCCTTCTCTCTTGCAGTCTCCGAGTGAGGTGTATAGCTGGAAAAGAAACTCCTCTCTGAGTCGCAGACATGCTTCTCCTTCTGATCCATTTTATTATGGAGCCCGGAGGAAAACAGGAGCTGCAAAACAAACCAATTGTGTAACTTTATTGTCTTCTAATCAAATAGTCAGAATTTTAGCACCTGGAGATGTGCCTTTGAAAGACATTTACCCAAAAGGTAAGAGGTTCATATACTTCTTCTGCAACAATTATACACCGTTGTTTCTGTTTTTTAAACTGCAGTCATTCATGAAATTACACAAAACATTTTTAAAGAATCATTAAGCAAGTATCTGAGGAGAAAAGAGAGTAGTTGCATACATTTTGCTGATTTTAAAATTAATTCAGACTTTAATAAACTTGCTAAATTGTACTTCTGAGGAATTAATAGGCTGCCTACACTGTGCATGTTCCAGTAGATGGGATTTCACTCTGTTTGCACTGGGAACCAGTACAGGGATGTGATTGTGCCAGTTCAGCAATGAGTCTGCAGCAGTATTCCCAGCCTCTCCTTGGTGCCACACAGACACCACAGGTTATAATTATAAGAAATGCCTTATTTATCAAACCAATTGCCTAGCTCAGTTTTGTGTTGCCCTCAGGGACAATAGGAGAGGCTACTAGAGAGTGCCTGTGAACCCAGCCGCTTTCTTCTGTTTCTTTCCCCTCATACTTCCTCAGCCTTAACAATTGTTTTATTAGGGATGTTGGAGGGGACATCCCTGCCTCAGCCGTTTAATCTCCTTTTATGGACTTATTGTCCATGAATTTGTCTGGTCGCTTTTTGAACTCGTCTGTCTCTGCAGCAAGTTCACAAATGCACTAGTCTTTTGTGATGAACACAGAAGCGCCCTTCGTTATAGCACTGCAGGTGCTATATTGCTGTGCAACAGTTCTGCATTCATCTTATCTATCCCCTTCATGATTTTGTAAACCTCAGTCACATTTGCCCCCCGCCTTCTCTCCAAAGTGAGGAGACCAAGGCTTTTTACTTCTTCTCTTGTCCAAGAGCATGAGGTGTAGCAAAACTATCCTCCACTTGTACACTGGTAAGACAGGTGCAGGCTACAGACCTTCAAATATTTTTGTGCTGCCATGCCAAGCTTTCTGTTACCACTGTATCTTTACCGTCTTTAGCCAGAGTGACTAAAAAATGTCCTAATTAGTGCCAAATCACAGAATTTGAGAGTTATGCATTAATAACCTTTAGAAGTCTCCAAAGAAAGATCACTACCGAAAGAAAAAATATGAAATATTTGTTTACGGTAGACTGGGAAGCTTTTTGAATTAATGGAGACAAGCAGCTTTTCCTGATTTGTGTTATATGTGAACTCTTCATTTTAGAATAAATTGTTTTATTTCAAATTAACCCACTTTTCAGAAATAAGCAATTTAATATATCTGCCCTCATTTAACACAAATTAACTTCCCTGTGTAGAGAATGCCTTTTACTTATTACAAAAAAGGATAGAAAAATAGCTGGCTGAAAACACTTACTTAACTGAAGAAGCAAAATCAAGGATATAAACAGGATAGAAAAATAGAGTTACCTAGATCTGCATAAGAAAGGTTAGCTTTTAAAAGGTTTAAATTGAATAAAACATAGAGTTGGCATGAATATGTTCGAACTAATTACACCACCTCAAGCTGTAATCCTGTCATACTCCATAAGCTATTAAATGATCAGTCTGGGTCAATTTTTTGCAGGCGTTTAGGTGAAAGAAGGCATCCCGAAGTGGATGGTATAAGCATTCAGAAGGGAAATCTTCTGAGCTTTTGTTGAATTATTTCGCTAATTTGGGAGGGAAAAAGGAAAGAGGGATACAGTGCTTCCAAATGAGACCTAAAACTGAGATCTTGAAGCAGGTATTTGTAAAAACATTTTAAATTGCTGTGGTATATTATCAATTCTTAGCAGTAGAGTAATGTAATTAAAAATCGTGGGACATTTTTCATGAAGGAAAGAAGTTCGATACCAGTGACCTGAGCGAATTCTGTCTGAGAATTGGCATCTGTCTGACTGAGCTAAATCATTCAAATCAGCTGAACAAGATATTAACTTTTTTCCCTCAAGTATGGTGAAATTTACTCATGAATAGTGATCGATAGCTTTAAATTTATAGAAGACTTCGTGAGGTATAGTTTGTAATGTGCTTTGGGGCCGTTTAAGTTGAAAGATTCAAGGCCTTCTTTAAGATCATTATCATTGATTTTTCTTTTCTAAATCACATTTGAATTTATGAATTGCAGAAATTGATCTTAACTGAATCATATTTAATTTGAGCTTGATGATATGGTTAAATTAGGCCTGAGCAGGACTCTAGGTTTTCTATTAAGCCTTTTTTCAGGATTTCAGACATTTTTCATTTTTCAGTACATAGTTAGTTTTCCCCATGGAGGAAGAGCTACGCGTGGAGTCTTGCAGAGACCAGTGCTACTCAGCATGTTCATGAAAAACCTAGAAAAATGAGTGAACAATGAGGCGAAATTGTTCGGTGATGATTCTGGGTGTTATTCATGGTAGAATGGGTTCACCGTGAAGAATCACAGGACTACAATGCTGACTATGCGGTAAAATGGCAGACGAAATTCAGTATAGATAAATATAAAGTAATATAAGGAAGGAAGGAAGAAAAACAATCCTAATTCCCCATCTAAAGCGGTGGGCTGTGAGCTGACAATTACATCTCAGGAACATGATTTTGGGGTGATGATAGATAGTTCAATTAAAATATCAGTTCAGATCTCAGGAGCAGTCAAATGGTAAGAATTATTAGGAGAGGAGCAGAGAAAAAAGAGAGAAATTCTTTTTGCTGTTATCTAAATCCATGCTTTTTCTGCATCTAGTGCTGTGTGATTTTGGTCCCCCGTCTAAAGGTGGGAGATAGATGAACTGGGAAAAGTTCAGTCAAGGGCAACAAGAGTGAGCAAAGCTACATCAGCGAAATCTCCTGAATGTGGAAACAAGATGAATAAAGAGGCATATGGTGGAGTTTTACAAAATCACACATGGCATGGAAATACGGAAAAAGCAGTAATTTCACAATCTGTCAGTACCAGAGCTAGGGGGCAGCAGATAAAGCTAGTAGGAATGTCAAAATATAGATTCTGCATCCAGCTCCTGGACTGGAACTTGTTGGTGACTGGAGGAAAATACGGAATATGCTTGCCTAGTTCTTACACTTGTCAAGCTCTAGCTACTCTTGGAGACAGGATACTAGGTTGGAGGGACTTAGTATTATCATTGTTACGCTCTTAAATTGATGGCATGAATCCAAGATCTTTCCAAGTGAAAAAGGGGAGAGAGAAGGAGAGACATGCATTCATGTATGCACTTGGAAGGTGAAATTATAAGAGCCTAGTTCTTACTGTGCCTGATTCAGATCCAGTATTTGCAACCCCTTCTGCTAGGCTGTTGTTTCTTCTGGAGTTTGCCTCTCAGTCTTACTGATTCACAGACTATTTAATTGAATGTAAGTGTAACTGCTACCAGTAGCTGCTCCACATACTGCTATGGAGCCTTGGACATTTGGGTATTACCCGTTCATGTCTTTGCTGCGTAACTCAGGGTGGCCCACAGGTGATTCCTCTGTGCTGATGTTTTTTGCACTGGAAACCTGTAGTTATTTACCTACAAATAAGTTGCATAAAGCTTCACTCTTAAGCCTTTGGATCGTCTCCTGGGAGATGATATAGTGAAACAAAGGCGTCTTATTATGCAGAGTTGAACGTATGGCAGCCCTTGACGTTCTTGCACTAACTTCTTATGTTGCCTTGAGAAGTTGTTTAACATTTTTGCTTCAGTTTGCTTATCTATCAGGCTTTTTTTCCCGTCTTCTTGGACAACTGGTCAGTTCTGGCACACGGCCTTCCGTTTCTATTAATAATTCAAGGTACTCAGCCAAACTCTAGCACACTCCAATGCATATTACCAAAGCTGTTCCAGGAACAACAAGCAAAGAAATTGTTTCCTTTATGTTTTATTGGAACAGTAAACTAGGGTAGTAGTTATGTTTGAAAAAGAAACTATAACAAGTAATAATTTCCCCAAAGACTGCCAGATAGATATATGGCCACAGAATATAAACTCAGACAAGATCATGGCAGAATCCAACAAGTACATATTAATGTTTACTCTAAAAGCAAGGCTATAGAAATGAGGGCTACTTGAGGGCAAATATTTACTTTGCTTCTCAGCAGTCTCTATATATGAATTTAAAATAACAGACTATTGCTGAGTGTATGCTCTCCATTAGTTACTGGAACGATACGTAGTGTAACACACAGAATTACAGAAATAACTTAAATACGTCATCTAGTCCACCTATTTGTATAGGAACAGGATGACACATGTTTAGACTCTTCTTCACAGATGTTTGTCAAACCTTTATCTTAAGAACCTCAACTGAAAGAGATTCTAAAGCTTCCCTGAGTGGCCTATTGCATTGCTTTGCTCGCCTTATATTATAAAAGCTTTTGCTAGTATCTCCTGTCATGTATTTGTTTCCTGCAGTCCTTTTTTCAAAAGTTAATCCATTAAATTTGTCCCTGCAGTCACTCTGTTCTAAACTTCTCACTGCAATCTTTGTCACCCCTGGGATTATCTTGTGTGTTTACCTTTTCCTTTAAGTCTGATGTCTCACGCTAGGCGTAGGTATTCTTCTCCCTCCGGCCTCAGCAGAAGAAGAATAGTCACTGCACTTGTTTAGATCATGTTAATATATTCATATTTGTTACGTATTACATATTTGTAATATTTATATTAATGCATTCATGTTAGTATAAAGCCTGTTTTGTTTTGTTTTGTTTTTCCTACTCTGGCAGCAGCATAGCACCATGGATTTGTACTTTGCATGTTGTTCATTGTAAGATCTTTGACCGCCATACTGAGACCTGGGCAGTTTTTCCTGTGTTGCCTTTAAACATTTCCTTTCCCTTTCTTTAGCTTCCTATTCTGCAGTCCTTTATGTTTTTATAATTTGGTTTGATTGATTTGTGTTTTCTCCCTAATCTACCAAATTAATTTTGAATTCTCATTTTATGACTCTACCCCATCCTGTTCAGTGCTAGATCTTCATCAGAATGTTTAATGTGCATTTTATTCTGCATTTACCACCCAGAGAGAAAGCACATTTGTCAACAGTAACACAGTCTAGGCAAACCAGAAAGTGCTGTGCCACCCACAAACCTGTAATTTTTCCACCATTTGTTTTTGCTCTGTTTTTGATATTTATATTTTTACAAAAAATCAATAAGGTTAGCAGATATGGTACTGTAGCTAGCCTAGGGGCTCCTGTGGGTTATTCTTCATTCGTTTGAATGTTAGATCCCCTTATACCGCTGATGTTACTGCTCTTTTCTGTGTGTGCTGTATACGAGCCCCAGTAGTTCTGCAGGTAGCAACAGGCTCTCCTTTAGCTCGAGCGTATGAAAGATATGGCGTTCCAGATGAAAATGTAGAGTTTTATCTGTTGAGAATGACATTTTGTATCCATACCATGCAGTGTAATTCAGTCTTCTGGTTTCCCTTCTGCAAAGCTTAGTCCTGTTCTCCACGCAGGTGAAGGCCAGCTCCTAACTGCAAGCCACTTCTGAGCCCAAGCAGAGTGTGCTCACGTGTCTTCAAAAGCCAGTATAGAGAGACAGACACGCACGCACGCACGCACAGGCTCTCTCTCATATATTTCTGAGGGAGGAAGCCTAGTAGTAGCAATAAATAATCATTAAACTGTCTCATAAACTAAATAGTAAAGGCCTGATAGTCTAGGGCTGCTTTCTATAAATTTGTTGAAGTCTTTGCGTACGGAGAATCTACCTAGAAGAAAAGTGGTTCAGCATAAGGCTGAAACAGTTTTAATATTCAGGTGGGAATTATAAACACACAGATTTGAAATGTTCCTCAGTACACTTTTTAAGTCAGACATACAGCTGACATTATCTTCTGTGAGAGAAAAGAGCAGTGACTTGCAATAATGCCTAGTCGGTGCTTTTGTGAGTAGGACTATATTTGTGTGTAGTTTTGACATCTGCTGTACAAATACGTTGCTCTTTTGCAGTTGTGCCTGCGTAGTTGCTCAGTATCATAATAGTAGAACAATTCAGCGTTTGCAAGTTACACTCCTGTGTTGAATGTGAAAGCTTATCATTTTCTGGCAGGTACTGTATAATGAAATGCTTAAATTCAATCTACTAAGTGCAAATGCAATAACCAGTTAATCGTGCAGCAGGAAAATAACATGTTTGTTGATTTTCAGATGTCCCTCCTCCACAAGCTGCTGGGTACTTAGAAGTAACAGATCTCAACTCAAAGAAAATCAAATACATTGCTATTCCTAGGTAACTGATTTTATTGATTAAAGCAGCCTCTTGTCTTACAGGAAGAGCAAACAGAATTTTGTGTTTATTATTACTTCAGGATAAACAAATATTTCTTCTGATATAGAAAGTCAGTATCTACTTCATATCAGATTGCTGAGTGTCATGAGAATAATTCATACCCAGTGTGTAAAATTCTGTAACTACTGTAACATATCGTTTGTCAAAATTTTATCTATTTACTAGCGGAAACCAATGAAAATTGGTTAATTAGTTAATTAATTAATTAGTTAATATCAAAGGTAGCTTTGTCTTCTGATTTTCCATTTCCTTTTCTCTTTCCCCCACTTCGACCCACTTTAACCTCTGCCTTCTGTCTTTCTGTTTTGCCGTTGGTTTATGCTACCTTTCTTTTCCATTTTTCTACATCTTTAGGATCCAGCAGAGACAGGCCGAACGATCCTGTGTTAAATGTTAGGAAACTAGGAATCAAGTTCTGCTTGAATATAAAGTTCACCTTTGAAATCACTTGTACTTCCTGTGTTTTAATATTCCCTTGGTAAAATATGCATTCCTTCCCTCAGAAGAGTTTTGCATGATAAATAGAGTAAAGTAGCCGGCCTATATGGCTTCAGTATGGTTTTAACATCTACCTGTCACCATTGCAGAGTGTATTCACAAATATTTTATAATTTAGAAGCATATTTGGGTTACAAATTGTCATTTTCCACAATAATAATATTAAAGATTTTTACTTTAAATAGAAGCCTGTCAACATCTCATGTTTAAAGAGCACATGTATGAAACCCACACTTCAGGAATTTTATACTGAATCTTTTTTAGAATCCTGTCCACTCAGTGTTATCTTTGACAGTATTATTTGAATCTCTTTTAAATGAATTCTGCTTCATTAATCATGTCAAATTGCTTAATTAATAGAGAACTAATAAAGGCTTCATTAGTTGTTATTTACCTCTACTCTTTGTAGCACATATAATTTTTGGACAATTTTAATTTCTTCAGAAAAGGATTACTTTTTGTATATTGAGTGGGTTTCATTGAATTACTTGCACCCTTAGCACAATCTTCCTTAAGGAAACATCTTTATTTCAGAACTGGTATTGACTTTATAATTGATCTATTGGCCTACATCTTGTACAGTCATTCAGAAATGTAGAGCATTAATATAGAGATAGAACAAGACTTTTCTTTACAAAGAAATTTTATTACAAACTGCAAAGCCAAACTTCAGCATCATAAGCCCTAACCTAGTATAAGGATTTAAGCTACTTATCACAAAATAAACCTAAGCAGAAGTCTCGATTGAAAAAAAAAAAAAAAAAAAAACTTCCATCAGGAAGTGATAAATAAAGTGACTTTTCATATAAGTGAATAATTCTAAGTGAAAACCTAAATACTTTCCTCCTTTCTGCAATAGTTAGCATGGTCAAATGCTAAGATACCTTCTTTTCAGTTGAATTATTACACAGCAATTTCAGTCTTAGATCGAGGCATATATGTTTATCTTACATGGGAGTCTCTTTCTTATAAATTTTCTTCTAAAATAATATTTTTTTTCTGACCCTAGTTCCCAATTTCAAGCTGAAATTAATAAACAAGACGTAAGAAGGTTTTTCAGTTTCCCATTTTGAGTATAAGCGTACAAGCTAGTCAGGAAAGCACCCCGTCTCTTAGGGAAACACTTATACATGTGGTTAGTTTTAATTATATAATTAAGTTCCATACATTTCATTAGGGATTCGACCTAATGATGTTTTCCTGAATCCAAGTGTTGCTGCTTCCTTTCTCTTCCACAATTATGAGCCTAGTATTAATTAGTGCCAGTTGTCAACTCATTGTGTGTGCCATTAACAGTACTGAAAAAAGTGCAAAGGATCTTTTCTACTTTATCCAAATTTGCATTCATATTATAAAGCTGTTAGACCCTGTTTCAGCGGTGTTTACCTGCAAGTTGACTGCCTGTTTAAAACAGTGCTAAGATTCGCTGCACCCAAAGTTGTGCTGTCCTTAAATGAGTGTTTAAATCTTCTTTTTTTGTTAAAGCACTAGAGAGAGATCTCACTTTAAATTGAAACAGAGATATTTTACTCAGTGTCCAGGTCACGTTCTTTCCTTTTTCTTCTGTACTTTCGTTTTTCGCTATAAGACGTTGTTTAAATTTTCTGTGTACTTCATAATTTTCTTTAAGGACTCATCTCCTTGAGACAGATGCGATATAGCAGTGGGTTAGGCAGCATATTCCCTTTCAGCCTGGTCTTTTATACTGCTTTCATTATTACACAAGTATCTTTCAATCTCATCCGGTTTCGATAGGTGACATGTTTCAGATAAATTAGTGTGTTTGCAGGGCTTACTTACGGTTCCTCTTGGAGTGGGCATATAGTTTATTTTAATTGCCACCTTATCTACATAAATTTAGAAAAAAAAACCTCACCCTTCAGCCTCTTTTTAATTGCAGCTTTGAGATAAATCACAGTCATTCTTGTTTTTCAGATCAGGATCTCTCTCTCCGTATACATCTTGGCTGTCTAAGATCTCAGACACAGATGCCCTGTTGGCACCTCTGGGCAAAGTAGGTCTCGTTAGTGTGGACATGGGAGGTGGCGTGAGACTTTGGGAGACAGGACTCGACAGCCTGCAGCGTTCGCTGCAGGACTGGAGGAACATGGTCGGACAAGAGGATGGTCGACCTGTACAGGTAGGAGTTCACAAACCTGAAGTGAAAAACATTTAACAAAATGGCGCAAATTAGTTTTCAGTTGGGAGAGGGGGTGGAGGGAGAGCTGTATTGAAAAACACTGTGAAGTAGAAATATATTTACAAGAAAAATTGAATAGATGTCTTAATTTAAAAAAAAAATCAGTAGCTCAATAAGAAGGCTTATTTGTGACCCCTATAATTACAGTTACTGACTGATTCTTTATCTTGCAGTATTTGTATTTTTGCCAAACTCCAGTGCATTTAAATGCAAATTAATTCTTTGTCTCATGTTGATTTTTAACTGCAACTTTCAAAATATAAGATAGGGAAATTAATTTTAAAGGAAAAACATATATTTTTCCAGGCTTCATGTTTTTGGAAAAGGGATTATTGGCTTTATACTTTAGAAAAGAAACTTGAAACCCAGGTGGAAGATGCCTTGCGCTCAGAGTAGCGTCTAACTGATTTTGAAAGTCCTCCCAGCTGAGCACAGTTACATGAGTCTCAATATAGCCATGTTCTCATGTGGAATATTTAGGTGGATGTTGAAAATATACAGCATATACATGAATGCTGTGTGTGCATGGGTGTATGTGCACAGATGTTAATGTACTGGCTAATACGTGTGATCACCATTGCAACATGGAGGTTGTATTGAGGGCTGTACCACTGCATTTTTAACTTTTGTTAGTGATTGGATAAGATATTATTTTACTTAGAAGAACTAGACTGTGCTTTAGGAGGACTTGAATTCTCCACCTTTGGCTAGGAAGATCCTATCTCTATCTACAATTAAATTTATTTCTGTTGGTAAATTCTGTTTCGTGAATTTCTGTAACCACTTTCACAGTACATTAGAAAATGGGGAAACAGGTTGAATCTTTTCTAAATTAGATTTATGTTTTAGTTTACGAGTTGTCCAGCTAGCCCAAGTGTGAGTGAGATTTATTAGGCAGAAAATGTAGTTCTTTCCCTGTCTTTTCCCACACAGAGCTCCCTTTCTACAAGATGTTCTGCAACTATATAAACTTTGCAACAACTGACATGTTCTTGCTTTTGGACCTCAGCAAATGCCTTTCGTAAAAGTCATGAGAAAATAAAACAGTTACGCAGTAGCACATTTGTGTGGTTACATATTGCTTTACCGTTGCCATTTTTATTACCAGCACAGTAGCACTAGCACCATCTTATGGTCAGATATAGTTGTTTTTTATTAGCCCAGTTTCATCTACTGATCAAGTTGAGAGGGTCAGGAGGTATAGTGACAGTTTTACTTATTGTAATTGTGTTTTTCATTCTTTTTTATCTTTGTGGGTGACTTTGCTTGGGTAAGTTTTAAGCAGCAGTGTTACTGTAATGTCAGTCATAGTCAACTAAATAGTAGAGGATACTGTCTTGGAAAATACACATGATCAGAAAATTTTAAGTCATCTAACTAATAATGTCAAGTTTTAAATTTCCATTACATTTTACAAAAACGCTAAAAGATCTTCCCACAGTCACAAAGCAGTTTTTAACTAATTCATCTATCCATAACTGTTTCCCTTTAGACACTCCTGAATATTTAAATATGTAATTCTTGCAACATATGGAGCTAGTAAGTGCTGCCATTGCTTTACAGAGGAGGGAACTGAGACAGTAGGTGGGTGACTTGTTTGGGTTCACACTGTGTGTCTACCTTGCAGTGTCAGAGGTGGACAGATGCAGTATATACCCACACCTGTGTTGCCAAGCTGAGTGGTTTGAATATTCTTAAAGTATCTTGTAATAGTACAGTCGCTGCAAACGTACCCTAAGTTACACAAAAAAATTGCTTATAAACACAGTGCAGCCCCCTAAGAAAAAAATGTCAACTTTAGGTTGTTCAACGTTCAGACATGCCCAGCTGAGGTGAGTATAGACATATTCAGCAAAATCCAAGAAATGGAATGGATTTTTCTCCGATCTAAATGGCTGTCTTCACTGCTTTTATAGCAGCATTCAGAAATAATAACAGAACACGTAAGTTATGCTATGTCCTGTGAACAGCAGCAAAGTTTATTTTATGTTTCATGTCAGAAATTAAAAAGTGCGTTCTTTATGAGTTCGTCGCCATTAGGTGAAAAATTCAAGGATGTTTTGTTCATGTGTCTAATGCCTAAACAGCATTTTGATAAATTCAGCAGCACTGAGTAGTGGTTCCCAAGATTCAGACTTTCTTCTGCCACTCGTCATTTAACCTATTTTAGATTTGATGAGGTGTGCAGCAAACACCAAGTAACTGTTACGGGACATCAGGTCCACCACTACAACAATATTTAAAATGTGTTCCCTACTCATCTAGATTTCAGATGGAGCATGGTGTTAAACTGGAATTAAAGTTGAGTACATTGTAAAAGTAATAATTATAATCCCCAAAATGTCAGATTTATTGTAAACGTTAGAAGAAATACGGTCATGTTAAGTTAGGCCCATAACCGTGTGCGCCTGTGTGAGTGCAGGTGTGCATGTATCTGTGTTTTTGTGTGCCTGTGTACCTATATGTATATATTCACACACATACACATGTATACAGACAGACAGACAGGCGCGTGCACACACACACACACACACAAAACGCATGCCAACCAGGCAACTTCAGTTTTGCCCGGAAGTCATACCTGGACATTAACTTTCCTGAATTAGGATTAAGTCAGGAGATTGTTGTAACTTAGCAGGTACTCAGTCCCTCATGTTCTGTGTTTCGTAATGAACAAGAATAGGAAGTGGACTTAGAAAAATAGTTTGTAGAGCAATTTAGGAAAAAGAGCTTGGGATCCTCGTGCCACGCATACACTTATCTCTGAGGAATGCTACGATACTTTCCCCTCCTCTTCCCTAGTCAGCCAGTTAAAAGACTTGCTGGCACATCTCATGCCTTTTATCTGGCTTTTGTTCCTGTTTTTTTTGGTTTGGGTTTTTTTTTAGCTCGTGTGTGCTTGATATAGAGCTATAACACAGCAGAGGTGCTTACCCAGACTTTTGGTGGGTGCATTCACAGTTTCCTTTTCTTTGGTCACATTTTAATCTGTTAGAATGGAGGGGACTTGGATACCCAGCAGTGGGCAGCTCTTGCTCTGCGATAAAAGCATGATGTTTAGCAAATGTTGCTTGTCCTTTTTTTCCTGTGTATTTCTAATGACCAAATGTTTTATATTTTTCTGCATTTGACTAACTGCTTATTCTGACCACTTGAGGGTACCCGTGAGCTAGTAACACTGATTTTTCTCATCTTAAGTACTATCAGGACAAAACCCATAAACTGTGAAAAACATATTCAGTGGAGAGTTTTCATGAGTTTAGAATAACCATATGATGGCATTCTGCAGTCCTGCAGGTTTTATTCCAAAAACTAAAGCAAAGGGTCCTGAATAACTTGAAATACTCCAGATTCAGAGTTCTTTAGTCCGTAACTAGATTACAAGGTACAGATTGATAGCATTTGCCATTCTGGGACCATGAACCCCAAGCACTCCAACCCCAACTATTCATTGCCCTTTAGCAGTTTTCAGTGGGGCGGTGCTTTGGATTTCTCTGTAAAGCATAGTGAATGATGCCAGTTTAGCTCTGTGACCTTTTCCTGGACTGCATGATTCATCCTACCAAAGAGTAGGAGGCAGATGCTGTCCCTTGAGAAAAGGCATTTGAGTATGGGGAAACATGAGATTAGAAAGCCAGGAACCCATAGAGCTTGATAGGTTCACATTTCTCAATTTCTGTACTGCGTAAAATAACTCAGATAAGGATTATCAATTCTCTTTCAGCTGCTTTTCCTAATGTAAATGTCCTCAGGTGAAATTAGACACTCATTGGAAGCACTGTACAAACACTCTGAAAATACATTCCCTTTCCTAAAGATCTTCCAGTCTGATTAGAGCAGGCTGGCTAAGAGCAGAGGTGGAAATAACCTTAACTTTATGTTAGGGCAGACTGATCCCGCACAAAGTTCCTCTTTCTTCCTCTGGCAACATGAAAGACCGCAGCTCTCACGGGAGACAATACAACCCCTCAGCACATCTCTTCACATCTCAGAGAGTCTGCACCAGTGAACATTGCTGGCTTAGAGGCTGGAGCTCATAACGCTGATGAGTGCCTCCTGTCGGAACAAAACAGACTGATAATTTCGATCTTATGAAACTTGCTCTCTAATTAGTGAAAGGACAAAACTGATGAAAATTTAAATCAAATCATCTGTTACAATAATATTAGCTATAGGAGGCTTTCCTATAAAACATAAAGCTATTCTGTCTTTGATAACTTAACTCTCTGGTACTTAAGGAGAGATTTGACAAGGTCCTATGGCGGTGAAAAATACGGCTTTTCTGCTTTCGTGTTTAATTTTTTTCAACTTTCTTTGGACAGTGCAATAACCCTGCAGTTTTCTATCCAAACATTCCTAATTGTTGTAGTTATTCATTTATCCTTCCTGTCCAGTTTTGATTATTCAGGCTACTCCAGAAGAAACTGAATACAGAGTTTTCCGAGTTTATGATAATAAATGTTTCACGAATAAATGGATCCTTGTATCTTTATGGTAAAATCAAAAATATAAAAGTGACTAAATATTTTGTTTCTAAATGCCTGAGCTCAAATATTGGTTGGGCCCCAGAAGGAGGCCAGCTCAGTGGACTTACTCAGTCTCAAATGTTGATTAATTTTACTAAACATCGCAACATTTCTTTGAATTTGCGCTCTGAAGGTACGACAGGGACAGTGGAAGGTATTGCCTGCAAAGCTTGCTGAGTGTTAACAGCTCTGTTGTGCTCTGCACTGTGGATAAAATATTTTGCAACTATATAAATGGCTTAAAAATACAAATGACAAAAAAATTAGGTCTGTCTTCATCACTTAGACACTTTTGAAATGTTTGCCTCAGGTTTCTTTAAACTGTACTTTCCATCTTTCACGTGTAACCAACTTATCTTCTAATTTCACATAGTTTTTAGTGCAATAAAATAAACTAGCATAGTGATGTAGTTA